ACACACACACACACACACTCTGTGGGGGTTTCAGCTTGCAGCTGTGACGCACTATGAGCTCACTGAGCCTCTCCACTGTTTGTCTTTTTTTTCTGACAGACACACAGAGGAGCCAGAGAGAGGGAGGGAGAAGAGACGAGAGGAGAAGAAGAAAGGAGAAGCGGGGAACCTCGTGAATCAGCTCTGTGGTTTTCACTCATCCTTTAACCTTGTTTTTAAGCTAATCATCAACTGAGCCAACCTCAACAGACGATGCTCGCCTCCGGACCTTGATTTCCACCGTATTTATTCACCAAACCGGTGAGTCTCTGAACTTTCTCCTCCTGGTTACCTCACAGTTCACTTTGGGAATGAATGGCCGCTGAAGCCGGTAGTTTAGATTGACTGTGTCAGTCTCTGCAGACTCGTGTGGAACTTTTTCTCACCACAAAGCCATGTCGGCGCGTAATGACCACTTTTACGCACGATGGTAATTGTGTTTAAGGGAAGGAACGGCGCTTACTACCTGTACTTCTGGAAGTAGTAGCCTTCGTTGTAGCCTTTGTGCTCCCTCTGGATCCTTCGCTAGGTTTTATCTTATGGCTGAAAACAGCAAAGACCTTTAACTGAGTTAACGGACCGATGTAGTTATTTGTCTATTTCTGTGCAAACTCTGTCTCTTTATTTAATTCATCTGCTGAAGCTTTCGAGGTACAGACTCGGAGTCAGGGAGTCAAGTTCATACTGTGATGAAAACAGTCACAGCTCCTGCTTTAGCTATTGTGCTGGATCAATGTGGTTCTTCTGCCATAATCTGAAACCCAGTGAATTTATTTGAACTTTTAATAACCATGGCAACCAGTGCGTGTGTCTGCTTTAATGACAGAGTGAGCACATGCGCACTGTCATGGCGACGTGATGACATCACTGTCAGTAGGATCATCCTCCTCACTTTTTAATGAAGTCAAAAATCCTGATTCTGCTTTATGCTCATTCTTTATCTATCTATCTATCTATCTATCTATCTATCTATCTATCTATCTATCTATCTATCTATCTATCTGTCTGTCTGTCTGTCTGTCTGTCTACCTATATGTTTATCTATCTGTGTGTTTGCTGTATTAACAGCTGGTTTTACATTGAATGTTACCACCATCACATTCTGCTCCTCACTGCTGAGGCTTTGGCATCATGTTCTGCTGCGTAACAGCACAAGCACTTCTAAAAAGCACCAAGATGAGACTGTCATTTTTGGCAGAGGGCTTCCATTGTCTGAGTCCAAATTCCTGCACGCTTGTGACAATAAGTGGCTTTCGACTGCCCTCACACACACGCACATGCACACACACACACACACTTCCACCAGAATGGTTTCCTATTGATACCTGTTGTAATTTTACAGATGTCACAAAGTTTACACATCAGTATTGTCTTGTTGCAGCACCAGTGAACACAAACTTCAATGTGCGGCTCTCAAAGTATTTTAAATATCTGGTATTGTCTATTTTTTACGAGAAGACAGACTTCCTGTTTCCTGTCATGTACTTTCACCCCTTCTTGTGGGAAATTCAGTAGAGTGTGTGTGTGTGTGTGTGTACAGTGTGGATGAGCAGATGTAAAAAAATCTATCCCAGAGATTCTCTTGCTTTGGCCAAAACATGTGCTACTGAATTTGTTGTTAAGTTTGGTGTTTTGGGATGTTTCTCTTTACTTATTGGCTCTGAAAATATATGTTTTCTTCGTTAATCACAAAAGCAGAGTTATAGCGGAACAGGAGGAGGGGGCTTGATGATGAAATCGTTTTTCTAACTGTACAAACACAGCTAAAGAACTGGCTGCCATTTGTTGGACTAGGTTTAATCCATAAATATAAACCTTCCAAGATTATAGTTTATTTCTATAAACAACAGTAAACAACAGAAATGGTCATTATTAAAGACACAAACAGATTTAAAATAAGTCCGGTTGCATGAGATTTGTGCAATGACGATAATGTACTAGAACCCGAAACCTAAGAATTAATCAATACATTTCGGACCATTGAGTATTTACTAGTTTTGAGTATTGTGATGTTTGATGGATGAGAACATTTTCCCCTTAATATGAACACATAATTGGAATGGTACAACATATGTATGTTAATATCTAGCATGTGTTTGCTGTAGATGTGCAACTTTTTGGTACAAAGTCAAATTTTTTTGTCCGTAGCATGATGTGCTCAACTGATGTTAGCAAGGCTAACAAGACCTGTAATTACCCACACACATGGTCCATGCCTTAATCAGGAGTTGGTGCAACAAGAGCGTTCATGTGGATTTACCCACAG